AGGTCTACCTCTACCCCTCCTAACTCCTGTTTCTGCCTCTAATATGTCTCTGACTAGACCTTCATGTCTGAGAAGGTGTCCTACCAACCTATCTCGCCTATTTTTTATTGACTTTCATAGAGTTCTCTGTTCTCCTATTCTTTCTAATACCTCTTCATTTCTAACCTTTTCTACCCACGTTATCCTAATCACTCGCCTATGACACCACATTTCGAAAGATTCTAAGCTTTTCATTTCCGCCGCGCCCACTGTCCATGTTTGGCACCCGTACAACGCCGCGCTCCAAACATACATCTTTAACAATCTTTTTCCCTACTACTCCTTCCGTCCTGACTTATCTGACTTCCTAGATATCTAAAATCAGCTACTTCTTCTAATTTTTCGTCTCCTATCTTTATATTCGCTCTTTCCTACTAACCTATCTTGCCTATTTCTTATTGACAGTCTTCTGTTTTCCTTTTCTTTATAATACCTCATCATTTCTAACCTTCTCCTTCTTGTCCGTGGTCTCACTTTTTTTAATATTTGCTAACGGTACACCTCTTTGTTGATATTTGTTCGTTGATCCAGTAAAGTTAGGAATGTTTTCTTGCTGGGGGAAATTGAAAGCCAAGTCATAGGATTGAAATTTTGGAGGTATTTGATTATTTCAAAAGATCAAGGATCTTCCGCTGGATATCTTTTGTTGTTTCGATTGCTGTATGAATTTTTGTAGCCGCACACGTTTTTACTAATTCATCCGCGAAAAGTTGAAATTTTGTAGCTTGTAGGTTTCCAAGTTATTTGACGCATCGATTTGTGTTTAACACTAGTTTGACGTACGATTTTTCTTATGAGCACCTTTGGAGTTTGCTGCTCTGGTTTCCACTTTTCTATCCATTGAGATAATGAATACAGTCAAAACCGTTTACTACGGCATCGCTTAGAACAACGTACCGGTTATATTGATCAAAATCATAGGTCCCGGCTTAATTCTGTTAGACCGCCTTATAAAAAACACTGGTTTTTACGACATTGCTTATTACGACATATCTCTTTAAGCGACTACATTTAACTGATATTTTCGGAGAATTATATCTGTTAGAACGACCAGCTCTATTGTAAACATTTGAATAGGTAACAATATCCACATCTGGTACAGTAAATGACCATTTAGGGTCTATTGTAATTTTCAGAATATCTGCTACTGAAGCTAAGGAGTTTATTAATGCAGATAACTCTATTGCAATTTGTGCACGAGCTACGGAAGATGATATTGTACAAGAAGTTCAAGAGGAAAATGACGAACAGGAAGAGACTGAAGAACAATTTACAGTGCCAACTAAAATTCCAAGTTTTATTAATATAGAAAAATGATAATTATATGTACGTAATGTTTTTTTATAATACGTTTTATGTAAAATAAATAAAATGTGGTTTTATTTTATATATTAATATATATTAATCACACATTCAATAAAAGGTATTAAGTACTTAATAATAACGTCACCGGCTATTACGACTATCGGTTTTTACGACCAAATATGAGTAGTCCCTNTTAGGCGGGCCGACGCCCCAGTTGGGGCCGCCCTTGCGATGTCCCAACGTAGTCGAACTCGGTGATGTAGATGAAGTATCCCTGATGAAGGTTGTAGACTACATGAAGCAATAGATGTTTGCCACACCTAGGCCCCAGTTAAATAACTAGGCATTCTATGCATTGGCTGTATACATCGATCGCTCCCTAAACTTATCTTTACATTGGCGAGCTATGTGTAGAGACTTATCCCCCTACTGGACGCCCTTGTGCCGATATCACCCCAGCTCTACCGACACTTAGGCCACTGTTGTATATGGCAGGTCAAGGGGTGGACTTCTACCCATATTAACACACGTCACTAGGGTTGCCACCTTTTCAGGCTTTACATAAAGTATTTCTCGACTAAAAGGTTCAAAATAAAAAGTACTCAGCATAAAAATAAAGTATTTTATTTTTTGTTTTTAAAAACATATTTTTTGTTACACCTAGCAGCCAGTAACAAATTGCTGTCACTCTTAAATATATTAATAGCCTCTAAACATAGCAAACAAAAATTTAAGTAAACTAAAAGTCCATTTTTAATTAGTTTTAATGAAGCTTTATTCCTGTCGTCCCGCCACTTTGTTTTCATAACTCTTTCTGTAAATGCTGAAGTGGCCGGAACGGACAGCAAAAGTGACACTACTTTGAACAGATTTTGGAAATCAGGATGTTCCGTAAATATGGCTTGTCATTTTCTGTGCAAAATTATTTATGTAAAAGTACCCTAAATTTCGAATAATCGCTTACGAAATTACGATGTTTACTTAAGACCTTAAATAAAGTATTTGCGTACTTTATGTGTCTTGTAAAGTATAACGTACGCACAGTCGAAATAGAGTACAACACTTTATAATAAAGTACGGGTGACAACCCTAGTCGTGGGCATCGACGCCCGAACAATATCATCGTTAAGATGAAATCCTTGATTTTCATACGAGACAAGAGCAGTTGCGGCATCCTTATATCGTAATTTACAGCGAATGCAAGCCTTACAGGAAACTAATTTTAAGCCGCTAGGAGATTTGTGTTAGGGGCTTTTACATGAAAGTGCTGCAGGTCCAATTGTTTTCATAGGATATTATTTACGGACAAATATTGTTTCACGAAATAATGATAACTATTATTGGTGCGACGTGTAACTTTTTTGCTCGATTCAGAAATAATTTTGGTAGACGTCTCGAAGCCTAATTACTAGACGGGATTCAATTTTCGAATAATTGTGTAGTACGGATGTGTGTGTGTGTGTATGTGTATGTACTGTGTAAAAAAGGTAACGTGACTTTGTGATACCTCAAGGGTGGCATGGAAATTTGTCTTTATAAAATTATCTACATTTAGATAGAGTATCTCTCCAAACGTTATTCGTTTATGAATCTATCTATTAGTTGAAGGGTAATTTGAATAGTGCTGCTACCGTCTGAGTCCTTATCTCAACTCGGTGCAAAGGTACAGATTTACTTACTAATTCACGCCCAGGACCGGCTTGGGCTTGTAACTTGTTGTTTTACAATTTTTTTGTTTCTTAATCACGCTGCTGTACTCACTATGCGATTCCTTATTGCATCTAGATGACACCCTCCAAAGCTTGCTACTTATTTCAGAAACAAAATTACTCATGCTGGGATGTGGAATATTCTAGTTTAAAGCTTTAAATTATAGTTATTAATAATATTAATTATATTATGAACTTATTCTTTGTATGAATAGATGGCTGTACGAATCAAATAGAAATCGCGTGTAGTCGATATTTGACCAATAACAAAAAAAGTATTGTATCGAGCGGGAATCAAACTTTGACCGTTGTAGGTAGGGTTGCCACCTTTTCAGGCTTTAAATAAAGTATTTCTCGACTAAAAGGTTAAAAAAAAAGTACTCAGTTTATTTTTTGTTTTTAAAAACATATTTTTTGTTACACCTAGCAGCCACTAACAAATTGCTGTCGCTCTTAAATACATAATAGCCTCTAAACATGGCAAACAAAGATTAGAGTAAACAAAAAGTTCATTTGTAATTAGTTTTAATGAAGCTTTTTTCCTGTCGTTCCGCCACTTTGGGTTCATAACAGAGAATACTCTTTCTGTAAAAGCTGAAGTGGCCGGAACGGACAACAAAAGGGACACTACTTTGAACAGATTTGGGAAATCAGGTTGTTCCGTAAATATGGCTTGCCATTTTTCTTCAGTGCATGTTTCTTTGAAAGTGATACTGCTGTTACAATTTTTTTCCCGAATTTGATTTAAATGGTTCACTTCATTGTAAAATGTATCATAATTAATTTTTGTTTCCATATTTATGGTTTCAGTAATTTTAAGAATCACTTCAAAGGACAGAGGGTTGATCAAGTTAAAATGACTTATGAGAGCTAACCAATTGTCATCATTGTTGTTGAACCCTTTTTCCAAATAGCATACTGCTTTTTCAATAAACAAATTGAAGTTTTTACACACTCTTGCTTTTATTCCAGGTGAAGATTGTTCTATGGATTCGATTTTCCGTAAAACTTGTCTTCTTTTCTTTTAATTAAATCGTTTTTTATATTTGTCATAATATTAAATACATCTAATATTGTAATGGAATTTCCCTGTCAATGAAACTAGCGTTCAGAAACATAGAAACATTCTCAAAAATATTGTATTGTGCAATATTATTGATACTCTGAATTTCGAATAATCGCTTACAAAATTACGATGTTTACTTAAGTCCTTAAATAAAGTATTTTTGCGTACTTTATGTGTCTTGTAAAGTATAACGTACGCACAGTCGAAATAGAGTACAATACTTTATAATAAAGTACGGGTGGCAACCCTAGT